TTAGTCAACTCCCCTAGACTGATTATCAGTGGTCAATCAATCCGATGGAAAGCGCCGGGCATTCGCCTTTGCCCTCCCACTTTAGTGTTAATACCTCCGCCACGAGAAGGCAGTGGGTAGGACTTCCTCAGCAGAAGCTATTTGAGGCGCTTGGTCGTTTGGGAGCATTTCTAGAGGATTTCGGGACCAATGGCCATTTCGGGGCCCGAGACACCCACTCCCCACCATAATGAGGCATTTGGATCTATGTTGGATAGTCAGGTTATTACTTGCGATGGACAGCAACGCAGCGGTGATGAGATGCAGCGGGATCGCCTTGGACGAAGCATCGTGCAAAATTGCGCTGTGGTTTCTTGTTTTGAAATTTTTTCTGAAGAAACGCCTGCTTCAGATATCTCTCATCGACAAGTAATGGGGTAATCGTTTAACAATAGGCGGAAAATTGTGTTTGAGCATTTACGAATACATGTATCATGATGGATGTGCACTGTGCATAACCAGGAACCTGTCTATTTATCCATCTATCTAGAGACGGAAAATCTTTGGTTCCTGTAAGGCCCATCTAAATGATGGAAAACGCACGGAAGGTCTTGCAATACCACAACAATGACTAGTTTCTGTCATTGACTCAGCACACAAAATACGTTGTTTTATGATTCTCGTTTTATGTATGTTAAATTTTGACTAACATATCTGGACAAACAAATTTAGTAACGTTTAGTTCCGTGATGGAAGATTTGAACGTGCAAACTGACAAAGAACATTGCGGGCAATAGAAATATCGGTTTAGGAATCCGAATTCAAGAGTACAGACAGAGCGGAAAAAATGAAAAATGGGTGCTGCACGAGGTTCGATAAACTCGTTGCAGTCACAAGCAAATATTTTGGTAAGTTTGAAAAAAAAATTAAAAACTGTAGTATCCAACAAACATCACCAAGGATAGTGTGACAGACGCCAGACAACACGTACCATTTTTAACTGGGTCGACTCCGATCAGAGCGGTGACTGGGCAGACCACATTGATCGTGCACGACAAACGTTCCATCCGGGAACGGATCTCGGTCACAGCCGCGTCTTCATCGTCGACCTTCTTCTGACTGTCTTTGCTCACATCTCGTTGCTCTTCAAATGATTCACCCGATCTCTCCCGCATGATCAATGCCTTGTGCTTATCACCCAGCTCATTCAGCTGACATTTGCCAGCCAATCGATGCAATGGCAAATCGGGAACTGCTTGCGGACCGGCAGCGGAATCGGTGGACAGATGCTGCTGTTTCATCACTTCGGACATGTCGATCTGAAGTGTCTGTTTCTCAGACATCACGTCACATTCCAGAGTGACATGCCCGGTCAAGGTGGCCCCGTCGACTGCGATCCAAGGTGTGCGTGTGTGTGTGTGCGAAATCGAAATGGAATAAAAAGGGGAACTAATTGAACACAGAGCTGTTTACAGTCCGCAAATTGCAAACAAGCGTAGCAGGTGAATCGAGAAAACTGGGCGCTCATCATAGCGAGATTGCGATGCAGTTGAGTAACAGCCAATCAGTAAACCAGAGGCACTGCTCATCAATGCATAACAGAATCAGAGCTAAGGCGATAGCGTGTTACTTTTGTGAAATGTTTCACCAGTAAATAAGTTAACCTAACTAAACATTTCATGAATAAATGAAGCTCAGGAAACATATATACAAAACAACCGCGCAAAATGCCGAGTCATGGCAATCAGAATGAAAGATAGATTTGACTGTTGGTGACAACCAGTGAGGCTCCACACGTTCACACGCCACATTTCGAGCCGTTCACTGTCACGAGCACGATGAGGACAAAACACAATTTTGCTGTAACCCGAGTGGAATAAGATGCGCACTCTTGGAGTAAATTGAGCACCTCTTCAATCCAACTTCATACGGCGTAGTCTGTCCACAGCCAAGCATAAAATGTTCACGGCTATGACATTCCAGTCTTCTAGTGGTTAGCACAATAGATTTTCTGACAAATCTGGTCGATGACCAACAGTGTATGCGGAACACCTCGACCCGAAGGTCATTTCGTCTGAACACCAAAATCAGTGAAATACGCTTGTGAAATCGAATTGGCGAACGGTGAAACGCTTGTGGTCAACGATACACATAGCGGGAAGAACATCGATGTATGCCAATAATGAGATGAACAGTTAAGTGTCTCTTTCAGCCGAATA